TTTTCGGGCGTTCTTTTTACCATCTTGGAAGGTGCTCAGATCACTCATTTTGTGGGCAGCTCAAGGCTATCGAAAACTCATTTTCGCCAAATATTACCTAGCCCTGGTTTTTCCTGCCCATGCCTCATATCATTATTACAATTGAGCACTTACGGCTTAAGCTCCGTGTTGACACTCCATTGGCTATCCGCAGCGCAAGAAATGCCGCGATGAAAATAACCCCTTTGGCAGATATCGCCTGCCAATTGTGGCAGGGTCTCATTTTCTGGAATCAACAAACCGTGGAGTTAGGGTCAGCTGTCGCCTACTCTTGTTCGCGCGAAAAAGGAAATCGGTTTTGTTGAAGTGGCCGGTCGATAGCCAACAGCGAAACGAAGATACCTGGCAGTGTTGGTATCTTGACTCCCTTATATAATGGGGAGCAAACGGTGACTTGCCTACCTGCGTGTACCCGAGACCTGAGAACTGTCCAGTGAAAAGGGAACGGATGGTGATCATCAGATCGCTATGCAGTAAAAGAGCTCACAACCAAATGAGACAGAATCAAATGAGGATTTTAATCATTTTATATGTTGTAGAGAGCTGGTACAAAGCGTGGAGAAACGAGACCCCTTTCTGCACATACATGTAGATGGCAATTATCATGGGTTGGGGGTACATAAAAGCGCGTGCAATGTTTATAGATGACACTTTTCGCGCAAGGCTAGACCATCTGTGAAGGAGTGGGAACCACATCCGCGCATGAAGCTGCCAACAGCAGTCCCAGGGACCTTCGTTTCAAACGAAGAGTATGCAGATGTTCCAGAATGTGGCGTTGTCCAGCGTATAACTAACTTGGTTCGCCTACCTCTACTGTAAGGTCGCAAGACAGAAGAAGTCCAGTGATGGATGTCGATTGCTAGACTGGAACGAAAGAGCCCCACGAGAGCAGTGTCGGTGTGAACTTGATGTTACCACAATGCACTAATGATCTGAAACGGCAGTCAGGTGACAATCACTCTTTGAGGCCCAGGTTAGCGAGTCGACTATCCGGAAAATTCGTTATGCTCCGTTTCATTTTGACATACGGTGTGCACTGCTAGCGAAACGACCCGGCAAACATCAAAGTAAGCAGATGGTTTGAACCTTAACTCTACGCGCTTTTCTGTTGAATGCAATGACCCCTCAATCATACTGGTAAAGGCATTCCAACCACTCACAGTGCACTACCCCTCTGCTCATAGAATGTTCCGGGCACTCTCTATGTGTTTTTAATCACCGAATTTTTCAAGGTTTTTGATTTTGCTCGCCCTGTAAAAGTACTCAATTCATTTCGGGTTCTCCTCTATTTTCTGGTACGTCATCGTCAGTGGTTATTCAGTGCATGAAGAAGGATAGTACTGCGTGTACCTCTAGTAGGCTACGCGACCGATTTGCGTTCTCGCTGCTTTCCGAATCTAACAGCTTTTGACGGCACGAGGTTCTCCAACTACATCAGCATACAAATCCCGAATGCTAGACATGGCGTTAATTATCATTACCACCTCATATTATTACAGCATGCGACAGAGCTCTCGGCCATTGAAGAAAATGTTGAGTCACCTCCACCATTACACTGCGCTCTTATCCGACCAGACCCTCCTGCACACAACCATCACCATTGCGAGGACACTTACACCTCAAATTGCTTATACATGCTTGGAGAGAGGTAGGTTGGTGGCGGAAGCCCCCCCCCCTCCCCATGTCTCCGTGGTGGTCTTCGTAAAGAAGTACGAGTAACTAGCGATTGGTTCCAAATGTCACTAGAGGTTGGAGGTGTACATTTTTCCCTATGATTATCGTTTCCGAGAGCGGACGCGACGGTCACGAAGGCCAAGCAGCGTGGCCTGGCGACACATGTAATTGTCTCGTAGGTTAACTCATTTCAAAGAGGTTGAGTGCAGAAGGGATGGATTCAGTTAATTAAGATGGGCTTCTTACGTGTTCCAGACGGAGGTGTGAGTCAGTCAATTGTCAAGTCAGTCGGCAGAAAACGCGAGCTCTCACGTTCGGAGCACATCAGTTGACATTGTGGTAATAGTTCAAGATATCGATAGCTAGAGGGTGTACAGGATATATTCTAGAAATAAAGTCTTTGGAAATATGAGGTTTTAGAAGTCTGGAGATCATGTTGAAGAGTCTCTGCTGGGATGACAGCTACACCATAGCTCAGTTGTAAGAGCATCGCTGGCCCCAAGCGAAGTTTCGTGCCAAGGTGTTGTTTCTCAATTCTTCGTGCTTATTCCGCCGTAACTCTCCTCTGTTTTTGTCCTACACCTTTTGGCTGCAGCCTCTCCAGCAAGGTACGATATCAAAATGTCTTTCCAGCTTTAAATATGCTCTCGGACCGCAGAATGTACTACATTAGGATCTCTCCTTGCTGGCTGCTTGTCTATCGTTCTTTCTTCTCTTTTTCTTGCCGTGGTTGGTTATCACCTCTCTCATGCAATTTGTCTGCCATTTGGTCAGGCACCACTAGTTGAGGGAAATGAATACGCGACGAGGCGACAATAGTTTTAGAATTTCAAAAACAAAACGAGCTGAACAGTCATTTCACAAAGGTTTTATTGTGTTCAAAACCAGTGGACACGCTAAATAAAAAAGTCAATAAAACTCGTGCGAACTAGGTCTGCTTCTCGAAGTGGAAGGTCACATTATAAAGAGGTTACTTTCGATAACTTTACACTCCCGGTGAAAGATTATACGTATCCATCCATTCTGTTCTTGTGACACTACAGGTCTCTTGGCGTATAGACGACCAGAGGATGCGGGCTGCGTGATCGGGATCTCCTCCAGGCGAAGAGAACCTCGTTACGGTTTTTTTGTAATACGTACAGGCTCAGTCCCAGTTTCCTTGGGACTGAGTTCGAAAAGAGTTACACAGCATTCCAAAAAAGCTGACCTTGACCTGTTTCCCATCAGTAGTGATGCGTGAGTTCGGAAAGAGAACCGACGCCGTCAGATAATGGGCAACCGCAGATATTGCCTCCTATCGGATTTCGCCAATCCATTTTCCCTGTGAGATAAGATTTTGTATTTCATAAGCTGACCAAAGACTAGTAGTAGAGCAACGCTACCTACGTCTATGGAAACTATATAAGTTCACGTTCTGATGACCCTCTTCTGTGCTTCTTGTGGCGAATGTGTGGCTCATAGGGCAGCGTCTGCCCATGCTCCAACATACCAGATCACGAGTGGATCATGTAGTGAATCTGCAGTAGTCACATTCCGACCCTTCACAGTGGTTGAAGTGCAGAAGTTCGAGTTAATGTTTGAAAGGGAACTGGCTCAGATGGCGTACCAGCTGCTATCCTCAAAGCCAATCACCCCTACCCCGCAGCAACCCTGAGAGATATCTTTAATGATTCGGTAACTATTGGAGCATTTCTCAGCCCACGCAAACTTTCTAACATCTTCTGTGTATTTAAGACAGTAGACCGAAGTGATCCAACCAAGTACCGACCCATCTCACTCCTGCTGATAGCCTCCAAGCTACTGGAGCGAATTGTATATGACCAGCTTCACCAAAATATTAGGACCCCTCATGCTACTCCCCTCACTCCCGATGAGCAAATCACGTACCGTCAATCCCACTCATGTGAAGACGCACTGACTGTTTGCATTGACAGTTGGCAACATTCTCTAGAAAATGATAACAATTATTGTAGCGGTTGCGATGTTGGACCCGAGAAAAGCGTTTGACTGTGTTCGGCATGACAAACTTCTTCTGGAGCTCCATGCGTGTGGTATAGGTGGTAAAGCCCTGGCCTGGCTCAGAAATTACCTGTCTAGTCGTCAGCAGCAAGTTGTATGTCGCTGCAACCTCCCGGAAGAATAGTAACCTGCCACCCGTGGTGTTCCTTAGGGTTCTGTGCTTGGTCCCCTTCTGTCCACACGCTCTCTTTCAACGTGCTTGGCTTTCCCCACCAACCAACTCTATGCCGATGATGTAAATGTTGCAGACAGGACTTCCGATGCAGCAATTGAAAAGCTTGAGAAAGTCAGCGAGTTTCTGCAATGCAGAGCACTCAAATTAACCCGGCAAAGACTCAGTTTTCTGTTCTGCTGAGGCACACGGTGCAGGCATCCCGTCAGTTGCGATTCTGTAGCACTGTAGTTGGATAATGATGTTGTGCTACGTATCTTGGCATCATTATTGATGAGCACTTGACATTCCCTCAGCAAGTTGATGCAATCCGAAAGAAGGTCAGTGCAAATGTGAACGCATTTCGGCACTGCCGCACTATGTTCACCAATGCAGCCAGGCTCACATTTCATCTCTCTTTTGTCTTTTGGCCTGTCTAAACTGGAATATATTTCCAAGTGCAGGTCTATTTAGTCACTGCCTTTCATGCGGTCGTTACCCTTGTCACACCGTTTTTATCTTTTTGGAGACTTATTCGTTATCACGTAGCTCAACATCATCTAATCATTATCCCCTTACTTTAATCTATCCGTCACGAGCGAACCTGTGACTGGCCATAATTGGATCCACCGACTTGAACGCGGCAGTGCTTTAAAATAATAATAAACACTGGAATATGCAAGAAATGCTTATGTACACAGTCTGCGACAACCTGAATATTCTCTCACCCGCATCTCTCGCCGTTCATTGCGTCCTGTATTTGGCTACCCACCCACCGCAGATCTTCAGTGTATTCTATCAACGTCACAACCATCACTATTCGTTTCTCCCTTAAAATGTGTCTTCTCGTATTCAGATGCGTTCATTCTTCTGCCAGTTCACTTCTGTGCCGCCTTTTTTTGCCTTCGTGCCAATTCAGAGGCACTTAGCCGCACCTGCACAAGGTCTCAAGTCTCTCTTGGACTTGTATTGCCACGAGCCTCCTCTCGATTTGGGTATTCCTCCCGGAAAGAGATCATAGGTCTGTGGGGACTGCCCTAGAGAAATAAGAATAAATTCTATACTATACTATCGTCAACATGAGGAGGAACACTTTTGAATCATACGGTTAGAGGCTCTTTATTGATCTGGCATTGATCCTATTCCAAATCAGATAATTGTGAAGCAAGTCAAATCGAGGGAGAGATGAGGAAAATTGCGCAGCCGATGACATCTTACTCATGCGCAACATCAAGGTGAATTAACTCTTTTAGCACTTACCAGTGACGCTATAACATGACCACTACTGTTCACTGATTTTACCTGAAATAATTGAGTCATGGAAATTTCAGAGAAGGGGAAGAAACCTAAAAATTTAGATATGAGAAATTGCGAAACGAAGTGTTACAATGTAGCTGGATGCTTTTCATGTAAAGGATCACTCATATGGTCTTGAGAATATACGGCTGATTAGAATATATACTTGAACTGGAGATACTGTCATTATGTGTCCTATCACAAAAATTAAGAGTCTGTTTCATGATCAGCAATTATGGTGATGGCTGCACATCTTATGGAATGCAAATTACCGAAAATGGTACATGCATGAGGGGATTATGGAAGATATAGAATAGAAAACACTTGGATTATCATGTGTAGACGAGAAACTGTTTTACGAGATTTCAAATGACTACATCCTGTCCATATTAAGTACGTGTAAATAGGAGAGACTCATGCTCGTGATCCATTCATTCATGTATCGGAATTGTACGGGATAGTTGAATACAAAGAAATTGTTCCGGGGAGGTGTGAGACGTTTTTTGTGATAGTACTTGATGAGAAAATGAGGAGAAACATTAAATGGTACAAGTAGAAAAGGAGCGACTGAAGGCTAAGGAATGAGGAAAGCTCCAGCCAGAACCCTATTACGAAGCGGCCACGTGCCCGTGAAGTCCTCCAATCAAAGTGGATGCAGTATTTCACAAATCTCGGTAAAGTTGGGCCGATCCGACGGCACCTTGGCCCTAGGAAGAAAACCAATACACATCAGCATAGCATGTAGCTGTGGGTATTCATGAACATTCAATGGACAAACAAATTCTGGTTTCAATAACGTACTCAGTTCACGTACACAGTCATGTACACTCCGTTTGAAGAAGTGAGTGGTTAGTACACAATTCAAAAAGCCGTTTTTCAACCCAAGACCGCCATACAATCCAACCTAGAGTGGCTAGACTAGGAAATTGACAACCCTTCTATCGGAAATCTATCGCTTAACATATTCAGGGTACAATATAGGGTAAATTCCCGCCTGAAGTACATGTATATGCATTACGACACTAATCGTCCTTACCAACACCTCGCCTGAAGAAACAAGATTTCGGCTGGACAGATCTCTATACTCGCAGGTCTGTATGGTAGATCGGTCTTCAGCATCTGGAGAATTTAGCATAGATCACAAAAAACAGATGAATGTCCTGCATTAGGTATTTTACTAATAGTGACCTATACAAATCTATTTTTACAAAGGTTCCACTCGCAGCCCTGGAGATAAAACATGTTTCGGACGAAAATCGGAAAAGGAAATCTTGAGGCATTGTGGCGGAGTTTTGAGATAATTGTTATCTGCTCGAACATGCTCCTGCGTCTGATTTTATGCAAAATGCACGTGTTTGCATGGGCAAAAATGCATCAAGATGATATAATGTTCTGTCACAAAGCTACTGCTCATTGTCTCTCATTAAAGTCGTTCACAGAAAAAGCGCTACTGCTTTTCCGCTGCTTCGCCGAGCAATACAGTGCTAACGTGTTGCCGTGTGACCAGACCTTTGCCCCCTTTCATGCAAACGATACGGCTAGGATTCCCTTTAATCTCAAAATTTAAAATAGGATAATTATTGATGTCACCTTTCCTTCCTCGATGTCCCGCTGTGGCTGCTTTCCGAAGGAATAGATCTCAGCGATGACAAAGGCAAAGCTCCATACATCACGTGATTCTTGATCTCCACCCTGCACGTAACGGGCAGTGGTGGATCAACAATATTTTGTATCATAGGTTATTGCAATCAGGAGTATAAGGAATGAAAACATTAGGCTATAAAGAAGTAATTGTCCCTATGTAGATTGTTTAGATACCATCAGTGTAATGACTGTATTATATACTATACTTAGTAGCGAAATGCCCCTGTCTACCATAGACCACGGATATCTTGGGTCCAAATACCACATAATAACCTTTCAGCACCCACGCCAACTAAACACACAAGGGAGGAGGCCGATGGAGTATAGCTCTACTGGGATTCTCTCAGCTTCCGATTCATATCTACTCCTTGATTATTCTGTGGTTGGCCATTTCGACAACGTGTTTGATTTCCGAACCTGAAATATCTTCGCATCGCCGCACGTTCTAATGGCCTCATGCAGAGAGTCTTTCTTCTTACCTCTGGAGCAGTAAACACAGAGCGATACAGCTCTGCAACCGCAGGATCGTGTTGGGCGTCTTCTAGCTTCGGTGAGAAGCCTCCAATCTAAATTATTGCAGCCGCAGAACATGAATAAAATTCAGTGCTCAACAGTGGTTACTTGACGTCATTAGCAGGGGGCAGGCCTCTGATCCATTGGGGTTGCCAAGCATTATTTGAGGGATTCCCCTAAGGCCGAAGCCTAAACCAAGGGGGTCTCCGAGAATAAATATACGTGTACAATACGTGTACAATAGGGTGCAATTTTTAAAGGAAGAAAATATTAAGGTAAAAAATATTAATATGAAGAGGTTAATTAATTGAGAAGTCTGGTAAAAGGAACCGAAAAGGGTACTGGTAAAGAAGGGCATTCGATAGACCCTCTCGCATAAGAAACAATTTCTTTCGAGATTCAACCCGTACTTTTCTAAACTGCTTTTACCGGAGCACCAACACACATAAACATACACATTGCTTCTCCACTTCGCCCACAGTGGGAACATGAAAAGATGGCATTTGCAAGTGCAAATACTTTGCCCCCAATAGACCTCGAAGCCAGGTTCCTTTTAAGCTAATTTTTATCTCTCTCACCTTGCAAACTTGGTTATTCAGATGTACAACGGCGGAGGACAGCCTCTGTGAGTGAACAAAGGACAATTGTAAACTAGAAAGCATGGGCCTTAGAAAACAAGTTAGCGAACTATGCAAATGTTGCGAGAAATTCAAAGAAGACGCTGCTATCCAATTAATATAAGGGTCTTGCGCAGTGACGAAACCCAAGCATATTATTTTATGACCTGACAAGCATAGGCTGAAACTAAGATTGTGAAAACAGTCAAACGTGTCTGCTTTATCGGGTTTATGCACAAAGGATAGTTTGAATGTGTATTTGATAAAGATAGATTTTGTTCCTTCAGACGTGTGCCATAAAAAAATAAAAAAATAAAGGTTGCCGGAATGGCGGCCGCATCACCTGACGTGTTGAGGAACACATCAAGAAACTACATTCACATCGGCGGGCCACCACTTCGGCCATATATCCTTAGTGTCGAATGATGACCTCACAAGTGAGTCAAGGGAGAGGGGATAAGTCTCTCAACAAGCGGGCGTGTAAAGGCCCTATAACCTCATAAACCGCAGTCACCCTTGTTACCCTCACACCGAGTAAGTGAGTACCCAGTTCACCGTGGGTGTTGGCACAGTTCATTGCATGTAAAGCGGTACTCGCGGGCATCACCGCGATTGAGAGAGCACTAAAAACACTCCCTGTTACCAGCGCAGGTTTGAACTCGGAACGGCTCATGATTCGCAGCCAAGACTACAAACCAATGGGCTATACGCGTTCGTGTGCCATAAACTCAGTAATTCTTTGTTGCCATCTACAATAGCATTATTCAGCTGAACCCCTTCATTCAACAACTGCTTCTCCTCTGATGAGTTCTCCGTTATTATCTCTATGGAACGAAACAAGAGTTGTCAGGAGTACTACTACTACTTGCTTTCGTGGAGTGTGGCTGGTGAACTGTTCGTGCTGTGCTGTGATCTGCAAGCGTCGTGTGGTCTCGTCGGGTCAAATGAAAAAACCTATTACTTAGTGGAGAAACGAATATTCGAATATTCGAACATTCGTTCGGTTTGTCACATTCGAATATTCGTTACGTCACATTCGGGTATTCGTTACGACACTTCGAATGCAGTGCATGTACATACATGCACGCCGAACACGGTACAGTGCAGTAGGTACAGCCTGCCTGTGACATTGTACTGCACTGCATGCACATGTATGTCCATACTGGACTGTCAATGTTGCACATAACAGTGAACTTCGAAGTACCCTTATGCGGCAGTACATTTTACATGGCACTACCGTTTGTCATACCTAATAATAAATTAGTATTGACAATGTCCATCAAATGACTGAGAGGAGGGCATGTGATGTCATCTGTGTCACCTAAAGAATATTCGTTCATTCGTTCGTTAAGCTGAAGAATATTCGACTAGTAGGTTTTGACATTCGTTTCATTACTACATGAACTCAGTTTATAAGCTCTTCCCTGGGGCCATGTCTTTGAGGGTTTGCATGTAGGATATGATTCAGGGTTGCCTAGGTGTGGACACATTCTCCAGCAAACCTACAACAAGTAGATTAGTTGAGCAAAACCAAAGAAGCCGTCTTTATTCACTACATGGGTGACCTGGTTACAAGTACCTTGTGTGAGTAGTTCTGCTCTGCAAGGTGTTGCATTCCAGAAGCGATGTCCTTCAGAAACGTCATCATGCGGTCATGGCTCGATCTAGCAACACAAAAATATCTTACCATGCATCTGATACCATAACCTTACCAGGATAACTACTCTGGTTTTAAGTCATTGACCGGAGCACTGGTGTAGTCATCCACATTGAAGCGTGGTTCGACCACAAATACCTCGGCTAAGAAAATTAATACAATTTCTTGCTGCCCATGGGCCATCAGTTCTCCAGTAAAACTTGGGCGTACAACGGAAAGGAAGCATTGGCGCGAAATTTGGATTATAAAGGAAATTTCACGCAGAAAATTTCATTGAAAGCATTCAAACTTGCGGAACGTAGCCAACAGAGACGTTATCGAAAGATCTATGAATATCGTTTCAAATCTCGAACAGCAACTCAGACATCTCAACGAGCTGGAAGTGTCATCCCCTTGCGATTGGATACAAGTTCACAATTGGCGCCGCTAATTAACCCTGCCACTGAATCAATGCCAGAGCATAGTGAGTAGTGTGATACTTAGAATTCTTACGGGTCTTCTGAGTTCATTGTTGGTAGATACTCCAGGAGAGTCGTTTGAGCCAGCTCTAACACCAAGATGATCTATAGCAGGCCAAAAATTGTGCGAGCGCACAAATTCAATACATAGTTCGGTTCTACAAGCAATTCGGGGCCCAAGGAAGTGGGATTGGAAATTGGAAAACGAATCCATCATTGCCGAAAGGATCAACTAACTCGTTGATCGGCACTAGTCAGCTCTGATAAACAGGAATATTTAGAGAATGATGCTTGTGCCTTCATCATGACAGTCACAGTTTAAAGTCGGAGGCATGACAACATTGGAAGAAAGTTTATGCTATAAAGATCTCTTGCGGGAGGCTTTCACAGCCATGGCAGGAAGTGAGTGCAAAACATGAAATATAGTGAACCACAATTTCCCCACACATATGTGTGTCACAATATCAAATACTTGCGCAGGCTATTCTTAGTTTTAGCTGGCATACCTCATTCAGATGCTGGACGACTCCGTATAGCTCCAGAACATTGCGGTGGAAGAACATGCTCAATGTATCGGCTTCCTTCTTCAGTTCGCTGTAGTCCTGGCCCATGACTTGAACTGCCAACCTCTTCACCATGACCTGCAAGCATGGTCCCTGTAGGGTCTTTGTAACCAAACAAATTTTAACAAAGAGCGTGTTGTATACTACGCAAACAGAAACCAGACGTTAAACGCTTCAGACGCATGAATAATGCAATCACAACATAGCAATTCAAAGCACACATTCATTCACCTCTGTCTTGTGTCTCGTAATCAGACTCACACACATCCACCTGATGAGTCTTACTTTCCTTCTTCTCCACTCACTACTTCAAATATTCGAAATAGGAAGCATGATGATCTGGCTGCGGCGAATGAAAGAAAGTAAGTTAAGTGAAATATGAGCACTCGAAGGGAGAATGATGAGTGGAATTCAGTATTAACAAAGTTCCTGCGTCCTTCAAAAATGTCAACCGCATGTTGATAGATAAGTTAGACACAGTGACGTCAATCTGTTTAACTTACCTATGAATATTACATTTTCATTTCCTCAGGTGTACTGTAGTAGGTGAAAAATTGTATTTCACAGCGGCCGAGCACAGCGAGATATTTTACAAGGTAACCACAAACCATTATAGTGCAAACGCCGGCAAAAATGCACAGAGATGCACGTAGCGACAGGAGAGAAATGATTTCTCGCGCACCCTTCTCTGTTGCAAATATGGCATCTAGTGTGCTTTTTATCGTCGTTTCTTTTCCTGACTTCTTCAGTCAGTTTCGAGTCTCAACACAGTCATATCATTAGCCGAGTGTCACGAGAGCCGTGAGGTTTGCTTTCAGTCACATCTGGCTGCGGCCAACTACCCTTCACTTTGTGTGTTGTCGCTATTGCTGTGTTTCTCTATGTGTGCCAGTATAACTATGTGGAGCGAGAAAGGACAACTTATTCCACTGACTGGATCTCACTGATTCAACATTGATATCAATTGAGTATCACATCTTACCTGGTTCCACATTCCAGCGTACCACGAAAACTCCCGCCTGCAGGTTTACACAAACACACAAACGCCCACACACACATTATGGTCCTGGCATTAACCATATCGTCTGTGTGATAACGCCACCCAGTCATTACCCAGTTCGCGGCAAGGAACATCCTGATTGTCGTTAATCTTGCCACTGATCTCCCTTTTTTATTGTAAATAAAAGGATCAGGGAACTACAAATTAATCATTGGTTCTCCATCTGGATCTCCTTTTTACTGAGAACTTATACCCAATACTAGTACATGTAATCTGATGCTGCGAAAGCCTGGCTATTGTGGAGATATAATAAGCTTGGAGCGTTCTGGCTTTCTTGGCTTCCCAGTATACTTGTTTTCTTGTTTTAAAGAAAAAATTAATGTCAATTTGAAGAGTATTTAGCTGAGCTAGACGCAATAGGTTGTGGTGGCTCCTAAAGCGGAACAAGGAATATTCTACGCTTGGGAAGAACACAATGAACATCGCCCAGTTGTTGCCCAAAAAACGGATCTACAATGCTACTGTGGCAAGCTCTACACAGCACAATTTAGCAGAGCTCAAAAGAGTCAGAAGCAGAACCGTTGGCATTACTTCCTTGAGTTTTTGATGGGCCTCTTTGTAGTAGTACATTGTACAGTTGGGCCACCTAGCTAAAATCAATTCAATACAATACAATAGATGAGAATACGTAAACTGTACTACATGATTATCAGTACGCAACGCAACAAAAACTGACCCAGCTCTGAATCGTTCTAGATGCTTGATAGAGTTCACCCCAATCTTCTCATACCGACTGTCCGGTTGCAGCGAGGACGAGACGGATGTCGTCACAGCCACGGTAGTAGTTGGTGTCGTCTGGGTAGTGGTCAGCCCTCCAGCTGGATCAATTGAAGCGCATTGCTGAACACTGGCATACATGGTCACGTCAGGACTGGAAGGCGAAAACGACTCTTTTATCTTGTCGATGGTATCTGATGTGTTGCGGCCTCCAGTTATAACTTGTATGTACTGCAGGTGATTCGGATTCTCTTCGGGTGTTCTACCATGCTCGGTTTGGGCTGTCACAGTTACATCCCCAACGATTGCGTATGCATTCTCCTCCTGGTTATTACAAGTAGCATCTGGCTCTTCAGTTTGAGATAGGGACTCGGTCGGAACATTCGCGTAGGGGTTCTCCTCTGGGACATCGCTTATCTCTCTCTTGCCTTCAGGTCCACTCGAAGCATCTTGCCCAACACCGTCATAGGGATTCTCGACTATTGTGAAAGAAGCAGCTGCCTTCTTTGTGTTTCCCATCGGAGCGGCTGTCACAACATTCCCAGCAATCACCTGCATGTACTGCCCCTCCTGTCTTGTGGCTGAATCATCGACGTGTTCAGCGTCAAGAACGGCGGCGGCGTCTTCTTTCACCCGGCTGTGAGCAGGCTGTGTGCGGAGCTCCACTTGAGCATATGTCACCGACTCTCCACCGTGTATAATGGTACCTGGTGTCACCTCAGCCTTGTCCTGCCCGTTGTGATTTTCCGTGGAACCTGGCACACTCGGTGAGTGGAGAGATGATCCATTCACAACTGGGTCGTTATCAGGTCGGGAAATGTAGTCGTTCTTCTGTGGCTGAACGACAAGGGTAGCATTGTCCAGGCTAGTCTCGACTTCTGGTGACTGTGAGCCTTGTTCAGCAACGGGGGTTACACTTGTACTTGCTCTCCCCTCTCGATTCACTTCTGGAGACGTTCTTCCGCTGACAGCAGTCAGTGCAACCACATACAAATTCCCTCTCGAATCCGTCTAAAATGCACAAAGTGGGAAAGAAGTGGTAAGTCATGTAATTTGGTATCTAATATCCGGAGTAAAATGATGAGAAAGTTATGACTAAAATGGCACCAAGTTACCGAGATATTATACAGTCAGATAGTAACTTATAGGTCCTTGTTTTTTGTTTTTTTTTAAACAATGACAAAAATATTAGTTCACAATGGACGTATATTGAAACCCTCGGTGCCTGGCAAACGCCAAGTCGTTCTACTTGCAATGACTGGAAAAGAAGGTGAGTAATTTTCTACTTCAATGGTATTGCAATTGAATACAAGCCGGTACATACCCGTTCTGGATCTCGATGGCGAACTCCATTACCTGCAGTAGACGATAATGAATGGATTTATAAAGAATAGGCAACCTCAGCGAATGAATTTGACACCAAACAATGAGCATCCATTAGTTGCGTGCAATAATCAACATACGGTACCAGCAAACAAAAACGTATGGACGTGAACTATTTTTTTCACGTGAAACAAACAACTTCCAATCATCATACAGAACGCTAGACAAGACGATGCAATGCGTATGGCGTAGGTATGCGTTTGAACCTAAGATAGGCCTATTCCGTCACTATGTTAAACTTTTCAATGCGCTTCATTGAGCTCTCATCCGTTCGATTTGTCATTCTTCTTTTCCAGAGTGCAAATGATACGGCATTTTTATCTGAAACCTAGATATAGGTTTTGCTGTAAACAGTGAAAGGATTTTTGTTGTGCTCTGTACTTTTTTCACTTTATTTCATTTCTTTGCACTTTTAAGCAGTGCTTTCCATAATCATGCAGGTAATTTGCACAGTACGCCTTTTTACTACTCCCTACAGTGCATTTCAAAACTATAGACGCGTAGGGTTTTTGAAATATTTCAAATTTGGCTGGAACTTTTTGAGAATAGTTTTCGGAATATTGCTCAGGATCGCTCCACAATTACTCTCATATAGTTTCTAAAGGATTGGATAACAGACGCCCAACTTGGAAAAATTTATGCACAAAGTGATCACAGATTTTATGTGGTATAGATGCTGGCATAACGGTTTTTGCCTAGGTACGCGTCTATAGTTTTGAAATGGACTGTAGTAGATACACTGCGCAAGTAGCGATTCTACGGATGCAAACATTTCTTGATTTGGTCCAAATCCGCAATTTTCTGCAAAGTCAGGTTCACTATTGTATAAACACTACTGAAGTATAATCTTATTTTGAGACATGCAGACTCGGAACATGTCTTACTTTGTAGTGTGGCGAACGGCTCGGTTCGCTGTTTCCTATACCAAACCACAACAATGGCCATAACTACTGCCAAGACGATGATTAAAGCCAGGAGGGCAGCTAGGATGGTCACTATTGAACTTGTGGTCTGCATGTCATCAGGAACATTGTCTGCAGCAAAACAGGACACATAACACGGAAATCTCAGTGGAGAATCTGACAAATCAAAACATTGACTTTTTGCTACAATGCAGGATGTAATACTATAGTCTCATTGCTTCTGTTAATTGAATTCAAGATACCCTCCCAGAGAGTGACTACTGCAATCCACCAAGTGAGATATCATGATGATTTTAATGGATACTAATAGTAAAGAAAAAAGGATCAAGGAACTACAAGTTACGATACAATGTCCACTAACACCAACAGTTTCTAAACAATCAGTAACTTGTAGTTTCTCTGTCCTTTTTCTTTACTATTAATTTATCCTTAGCTCTCCATCCGAGTCCATACTGTAATGGATGTGTAGGGATAGGGATTATGGTATACGTCGTAGCCGGTTGGATGGCTACCATCTAGAATCGCAATGAATGTTTCAACATTTAGCGAACCACCATCTTCTAAGTCATAGTGTAGAAAATAGCTAGTGAGACAGAAACAAAGTACATGTACCGGTATTTGTGTTTTGGTCGCCATCATGGTTTCCTTCGCTATTTCGATACAAAATAAATTTATTTAAATTTCACGGTTCGTGTGAGACTCGGCTGGAAGCCGAGTTTTCCGCATCCGCCGTGGGAACGCCACCACCCTCTAGGATCAAAGGCGCAGATGCAGCACATAAACGGTGGGAGATGAGTAGATCAGATCCACCACCAAGTAATCAAAGACCGAAATCACATTAGATGCAACCATGTAACGAAACAAAAGAGTGGAACATTAACAGTATTCTGATGGATAGCACCCACCCTTATCAGCCTTCAGGGCTACATAGAAATTCAGACACACATCATAGTGAAGGTGAGTCCGTACCTGTCTCGGTGACGTAAAACGACAAAGGTACTGTGTAGTGGCTGGTTGTAGGATTTCCGTCTTCGTCAGCGACACTGCGAGCATCTCTACCTGTCCTCTTTATGAACATACGGAATTCATAATTACTTCCACCTTTGAGAGCTGCTGTAAATTCCGTTCTGTTCAGCCTTTCTTCTATCCAAGGGCATTCCGTTGAATAGCAGTCGAAATCCAGAGTGCGATATTGAATGTGTGGAATATTCCGTGGATCGTCTAGGATAGTTGTACGCCATGGTAGTCGTGTAAACTTGACGACCGTACTCTCCCGTGCTTGAATTGAATGGATCATATTGCCTCCACTCACTGCAATATCTACAACCCATTGTATCTCTACAGAATAAGCACCGACAGGATGGAAAGGTAAGAGCGAGAAAAACAGATATTAACTAATCTATTTAAACTCGGATACTGAGCCAGTAATAAAATGTAAAAAAGAGAAGAAACCCATGAGAACGAGTTATGCAGCAACCGTTTATCATCTCGTTACAGTCGTGGATAGTTGCTGCATAACTCGTTCTCATGTGTTTCTTCTCTTCTTTACAACTAATCTATTAACTGGATTTTAACTATTCTATAATATTTTCATACATGTATGAGGTCTGCACCTAGAAGCATGTGTTAAGAAACCTATTCAGCTTCCAAAGCTCTCGTCAACTATTGGTCTGTACTAGTATATACCGCGTACATCTACAAGAGGGTATATTCCATATGTGCCACGCCACTACGAGTGTTGGGTCAAGACAATTGCGTAATTGTCCAACGTTGTTCAGCAAGGATCACATCGTAAACTGTGAATAGCATACACCTAGCCACTATCTATACATACCACTGCTGTGAGGAGTGTTCTGGAACTGAACTGTTTGCATCCAACCATCCTCATTTCCCTTCAGTGAATCACGCTCGTGGGTGACGAAGGCAAATGTTCCATTTTCGAAGTTCTCGGTCAAGTGGGTGGAATTTGTCGGGCTTGGATAGAAAGTAGAAAATTCCCACTCCCCATCAACATTCTTCCGCTCAAACACAATGAGATCTGTGTCGAGGCCTTTGGCTACGTTGATCATCACCTTTGGATTACCTGATTAAGAATGTTGAAATGAACACGACAATACAGCATCAGGCAATGATTTGAAAGAACGTTCAAATTAACTCGTCAATTTATTTTTCAAAAGGTCTCCTCCCTACGAATATCTAAACATGTCACCAGATTCTCCCGCCTTGCCCATCATCTCCACAGAACCTTTCTGGATACCTGAGAAACCTGTATTCGGTTGTTGTTGTGTGTTTCGTGGAATGGGTGCTACATTCTTTATCCATCCCACCACTTAGCACCTCTACTCTCTTGGATGCAGATCTATTTCATTCATTGGTGCTGACCGCTTTACTACGCTTCCCGAATCTCTTCGCACAAATGATATTCCCAATTCTTTTCGCCAAGATTTCATTCATCTTGGGCACCCTGTAAGAAGACCTTGGGGTCTGTTGGGACTGCCCAAGTAAAATAATAAAATACAATACAAATCTCTCTCAACTTAGTTCATTGTTAAGTGCAATGGCTGGATGCATCTGGGTCTACTCCTGGGTTGCCTTTACAACGAGAAACGTGATATGACTTGCTTGTTAGGGTTTCCAAATGAAACGTTTGATCCCAAAACGCTGTGAGTGCCAGATTTTAGAAACAGAGATGTTGAGATCAGTTAAATCAAAAAGGGACATCTGCAAGCCACATTGCACTTTCAAATCTGCGTGGAACCACTTGGAAACGGTCTGCTATAATATGATTTTCGCTGGAGATCACACAAAAATTGAATTTGTTTCTGGCTGAAAGGGTTGAAATGGATATACCGCATTTTGCAATTAACACTGATTTAGTCTTAGGAAGTACTCACAAACATTCTGTCCATCACCGACATATCCGACGTGGCAAGTACATGCGTAGGAGCCTGGACTGTTGCCACAACTGGCGTTTTGATGACATAGCTCATCTCTGCTGTTGTCAGCACACTCATTGATATCTGCAGATATTGTCGACAAGCAGAGAACACGTCTGACTGTTTGGAACTGGATCTAGATAAGACAAATGGCAGATGCTTGTTGAAAAATGTGCTGTGATTTCGAAGTTGTTCTTCCTGCGACACATTCTAACAATATTGAGATGCCTTTTGTTGTCTCTTCTGCCTCGATTTCATTGACAGAAAATTATGCGTTAAGCCCATGAATCCTTCCATGATCGACATGAACTGTAAATATTATTATTAATAATAAAAGAACACGTTTTGATGGCACAGCGTTTGGTATTTATCCCACTTTTGCGATTTGGAGTAAATCTGTCAGCACTGGAAAGTACACGTGTAACAGAGGTAAGTCAATCTCGTCATGCAAAGGGCTCTACCCACGTATTGAAATGAGAAACAGGCATACTACAGACTTGAAGTAATATGCCGATACAATCCATCAAGGGTAGCTGAGTGATTCCTGACAAACACTTTAGCTCGTACCTTTGCAATCTCCTTCTGTCCACGAACTGTCCGATAGGCAGACTAATGTGGCATTATATGTAAAACGTGATCCAGTGGTCTCAGTGTCATTCTCAGCCGAGCTACTGGTGAATTCGTATCCGGAATTGCAAGTAACACTGACATTATGGCTGAAGTATCCCACTCCGGTAGAGCGAACATCAGCATTATGTAGCTCTCGTGATGGACATACGACATCTACAAAATATGCATTAAAATCCATAAATGCATAACAATAATTATTATGAGCTTGTACATCCAGAGGCTTAGCAATACACAATGCGTCATGTAGTTTGAACATTTTCTCTTTTTTTCTTTTTTTTGATGCCGCTAGGGGAAGCAAGCACAACCTGAATCGTGGCAGTGGTCGTGAGGTTTAGGGAGCTCCGCCGACCTAGGCTCTTTACAAATCATTCTGTGCATTTTTCTACTCTCGTGCAAACCCCACTGCTTTAGAGTGATTTCGAATTCACTCTACATGCTTGTTCGTTCAGTTACCTGATGAAGGCGAAATCGCTAGGTATTCAAAAAGAGGGGACCGGTGAGCGTATTGTATTACTCACACACTCGTACCTCGGTTATACGCACCCCGCATGTACGTCCACTTCAGTCTACCATGCACCCTGTGCGAGAGTTTTGCTGGAAATGCTACTACAGTGGAGATTGGATAACGAAACTCCTTCGGAAGAGAACAAAATGTCACTATATTCGATCTGTTACTAAACCCGATCTTCGCAAAGGACTTGGGCAGCAGAATTTTGTCACTAAACCCAATCGGTCGTTATATGCAAGGTCGTTATATCCGATCTCTACTGTACTCTACTACTCTCGCCAAAAATCTGTCTGGCTTTACTCGTGATCGGGGATACGCCTGCAGAACGTTATCCATCTGTTTTGTTATAATTATGGTGCTTTCTTCCAGCTTTGCTGAGTGGAAGGTTACCTGGATGTCCCGTGTCCTGTGGATGGCAATCGTGAGGTCGTCAAGTGTCAAGATTCCAGTGTGGGGAACTGAGGGGAGCGTGGGGAACTTCCTTTTCCTCGAAGTACAAAAATGGTTTAAACAATAAGATGGACTGCAGAGGCATGGATTAATTTAAGGGAAAGAACATGACCAAGGAGCTACACCTTACTCTATACGTAAAGTACATGTTATGTCTATGACCCCTGCCAGTTACTAAACAATCAGATAATGCCATAACACTCCACGATTCTGACTAACGGTACTGACGTTCTACAAGACACAGCCAATTAGCTCCAACACGTCTTGGACACGCACACCAACAGCCTTCCCCTTCACCTCCTATGTTATTTGTACCTTCTAAGTTGGAGCATGAGCTGATGGTCACGTAACTGGTGGTGCTATTGGACATTACATAGTAACTTGTCGTTCCTTAGTCCGTTTAGTTCCTATAAGGACAGTAAACATTAAATTTTACTTCACTTCATCATTCTACCTACGCGGCCTACCTGCACAATGTCCAGGGGTCCAAGACTGGTTTGCAAGGCATGACATCTTCCCTGTCTGTTGAAACAGTTCTAGATATTCACTCGTGTTCATTGTGGTTGTTGTGCTTCTCACAAACTGATATCCAATCCTGCACGTCACGTTGATCTGGTCTTGAAAATATCCAATGCCAGTCTCGTTGATTTCCGCATTACTGACCGGAATGGTTGGGCACGAAACAACTGTTTGCCAGCACACAAAGACATGAAAGACAAAGCACGTCCTCAAGCATGCAAATTGTACCCAAGTCTCGTAACACAGATGCGACGCAAAATTAATGGTGCTTGAAGTACTAAGCAAATGCATTCTCTTCTTTGAAAATCGCTAACATGCCAGCACTGCTAAAGGTTGACGATGTAATTCAGAGTCGAACAAGTTCTGGTTTTCCTACGTCATTCGCATCACTTCAAATGTGTGGGTGTACATAGGAATAAATCTTACGCGAGCAAAATCCTGGGGACCAGGTTCGATCAGCCTCGCAGAAAACGTGACCCACTCGTTGTTGTTGACTTCCTGACTTCGGGTTGAGACCAGTTTCATTCTCACCGTCCTGGTGCGCAATGCTCACAAAGAACCAGCCAGTGTTGCAGAAGACGCTTCTATTCTCTCCGTAGTAAGCGTCTCCTGTGTCGCCTAAAGAAGAATTTGCTATCTCTTTAGATGGACACGTAATTGCTGCGAATACGTTAATGAACAAAGAGACCACATAAAATCAACTGAGTGGTTGATACTTTCATTCAATTGCTAAACCCTAAGAGGTTGATTTCGCCCACCGTACATACGATATGTTAGAGGATATAATACGTGCCCAGATCACGCGAGGAAGCTGGAACGGCATTATTTTAGCTGGAAATAGTTCAACAGTAATGTGATGGAATGTTTTGGGGATGGCGAGCTTAGGGGAACACGATCGAAAAGTAATAATTATTAGGAGCTGACCCTAAAAACTGTGGCCTCACAGAGTTATTGTAAGACGTATAACGCCTCTATGAGACAATCAAAGTTTTAAGCCGGTAGTGAAGGAGAGCAATGCTGTTGAATATTTGAACTAATCAATTCGCTCAATGTGACGGTTCTACGAGAATTCTACACGAGCAGGGCATCTGGAAATTGCACAAACACAATAGGAAGTACCTTCGCAAGATCCTCGAGACCAAATTCCCGTCGTCAGGCATATTATGGTGCCATTGGTTTCGTTCGTTGATGTTTCACCAGTGGTTGTCCATACATGACCAAGCTGACATTGAACTGAGTGAGTTGTGTTGTACTCGTAAGCTGTCTTATTCGTCATTAGAAATGAATCGTCGATAACGGGAGTATTACATGTTACCTCTGCAATGAACCGATGTACGTAAACAAAATTGTCTGCGTGTGTGACTTTTACTTGACTTTAATATGAATCGACTAGGATGGAGAGCCGAGGATAAATTTATAGTACAGAAAAAGGACCAAACAACTATAAGATACTCTATAATGTCCACTAACACCACCAGTTACTAAACAATCAGCTCATGCGATAACCTTGCACGACACTGACCGACGGTACTGACGTTCTACTTGAAGTACAACTAACTGGGTAACAACTCCAGCACGTCTTGGATGCGCACTCCAACAGCCTTCCATCATGCACACCTGACGAACCGTTCTTATCTAAACGGCGAAAAGACTGTCGTGTGAAACTGCGGTTTGTTACAGCGGTTTATTGTCCATCTAAAGTGTCCTAGACTAAGTACAGTGCTGTTTTACTGAGGCATTCGGTTTTGCATGGTTCTTGTTCCCATAGTTTCCCCTTTTAGCCACACATCATCATCTTTGAGCCACACAAGTTGTGTGGAATGTTACTTTGCGTCCTTGAATCGTGGTTTGACCGTATGGTCCAGTGGTCTTGCCAGTATCGTCATCGACATGCATGAACATCTGCCAACGTCCTTCACAGCTGAGACTTTCAGCTCGAGCTAATCTTGGTTTCGCTCACCTTCCCTCCTCATGTAATATTTCTATAACTTACCACAGTCCAAGTTGGAAGGCTGTTGGAGTTCGCATCCAAGATGTGCTAGAGCTGTTAGCCAGTTAGTTGTAGAACATCAGTACCGCCGGTCAGTGTCGTGCAATGTTATCGCATGAGCTGATTGTTTAGTAGCTTATGGTGTTAGTGGGCATTGTAGCGTATCTTGTAGTTTCTTGGTCCTTTTTTTCTTCACTATTTATATGTTTCGCAAAATACAAAGACTCCACTGTAGCCATCCACTCTATCCATACATATTCACTCTCCAAACGGTCTCTGGGCTACACCAATCACTAAAAGAAAAAGACATAATTATTGCAATTTTCAGGAAAGGCCCATCTTTAAGCTGGGCCTTGCCCGAAAATTAGAATAATTTTAATGTCTCTTTTTCTTTTAGTGATTGGTGTAGCCCAGAGACCGTTTGGAGAGTGAATATGTATGGATACTATTAATTAATGTGAGTACAAAAATGATTCTTAGTGGCATTGGTGAGGCTTCATGCAGCTTCATTCAAAGGAAGAGATTTCGTGAGCAGCCTCGTTCTTTCCCATTCACTATGCGATCGAACTCTTTGAGGATCAGTTTATAACTAAAACATTTGATTGGTAAAAGAGTTCGATTGTTGCGGAGTGACTGGGCAAGAATGAGTCTGATCAAAAAACCTCTTCCTTAAAAGGAATCTGTCGCCGCAATCACACTTTTCCGTTATTCTCAACCTTATCTGTTCCATATTTTTTGTCTCAGCCTCTATACCTTAACTCTCATTCCATGTTCATTTTTTCCTACGTTCCCAGTATATTGGGGTCTTTTTGGACCCCAGGAACGTTTTAGGTTGTATTCTTGCAAACTTTCCATGTTATGCAATATTTTGCTGTGTTCCCTTCCCATAGACCAATGCTTTGGCCCAACTGCATTTGTTGACAGCACTGAAGTTTGTCGGGATTATTTGCAAGTGTAGTATCCCTGCCCGACCAATACGGAAGCAGTACGGAACTAATACGGAGCTTGCCTGATGTATATTTAGTGTATCTCCGTATGTAAGCGTACGTCGTCTGCTGCATAAAAGCGGCTGCGCATTTCTGTTTTGATGAAGAGAAGATTAGATTAGATTGGATAGCAATGAAAGCTAACTCGAAGAATAAGGATTCAGCCTCTAGGTGAGCACCGGAGAGAAAGTTATTTATTTTGCCGCTTCTTCTTTCACGAACGATTATATCTCAGGTGTGTACCTGAAAGTAGAATAAAAGTAATTATTGTTGATTTCACCGCGCCTACCACTCGGCTACCTATTACATTGGTGGCAGCGGTGTGTTTTTGTAAAATAAAACAACGTGATTCGACCCCAGACCCCCATAGATCAACCCGCTGCAGCTCCGTGCGACGAATCAAGATGAGAATCGTGTTTCATGCTTTCCTGGGCCTGGCCATGCTTATTAGCCTGCAGCACAGTCAGGATGCTAACGTGGATCACCATTCTTTCCGCACGGCATCCATTGGAGACTCCGATGGCGATTTCAAGCAACCCGCTACCTACATGTATACTACCGGTGGTGATGGCGAAGCTGATGAGGACGACGACATGCAGGCTGCTGACCAAGACAAGGAGGGTATTCCCCAAGACCAGCAGCGTTTGATTTTTGCCGGCGCGTAGTTGGCAGACGGCCGAACCCTGAGTGACTACAACGTTCAGCAGGAGTCCACTATTCACTTGGTACTTCGTCTCCGTGGTGGAATGCAGAATTTCGTCAACACTCTTCCTGGCTAGACCATCACTCTTTACGTTGCGCCAAGCGATGCTATCGACAATGTGAAGACCATGATTCAAGACGAGGAGGAAGTGATCTGTCTGACGCCGAGCTAGCCGCTCTGAGTGACCGGCCCAACCAAGATAAAGATAAAACCTGGGTCGCCCTCCGCCAATACTGGCCATAGCTTCAGCCGCCGCCGTGGTTACTAACGCTGATTCCAGGTATGGCATTTTCTTTCCTGTCTTCCTTGTGTTCTAAGTTACTGGATTCCATTTGGACCCCGCCCGCATTTCCCGTAATAAAGTTGAAATCCAACATGAACCTCTAACTCAGATTATATTTATCTCGGTTATTGTGTTGTTGAGGAATACATGAAGTTTCAGGGAGATGTGATGCAGCAAAGTGAAAACACATTTCAAAAATATTAACTCTGGGGTCCGTTTGGACTAGGCACCGGCGGATTATGCCGGCATAATTATTGGCATAATTTGGTGGTTGAAAATTTGGAGCATAATTTGGCATCCTTTCGGAGGTAGGAGCATAACTACATGGTTGTACCACAGTTCTAGTATGTACGCAACACAATTGTGTACAATGAACGCACCTGATCAGTGCTGGTGGTCTACATGGTAAAGGGCTTGGAGGTCATGCAGATAGTTTTTCAATGAAAAGCAAGGTAGGAAACGTGATTGCATGCTCGTACTCGTCTTTTTCAAAGTACATGTGATTAGTTCTTCCTCACACTGATACAGTACATGTAGCAGAAGATGCGAGTGAATCAGCCTGGCTTTATCAGGTATCCTGGGGCGGATGAGATCATAGTAGTGACGGGTAGTCCGCAAAACTCCGCGGGCGTGACTGTACATGCATGCTACGAAGTCATGACCTCTGGATTTTAGCAGCCATGACTGTGCAGGCTATGGATATTGCTCTAATAAAACAAATAGAAAGATGAGGTATAGTTGATGCTCGGTCATGACGGAAGGAGAGGTGGAGCTACGGGAGAGATGCGTTGGTTATTCGCATTAGGGTGAGGGTGACATGGGCTGGACAAGTACGATTAGGAAGACAGTTGAACATAATTTTCAAAGGTAACTCAAAGTCTCAAACTAATTTCCCAATGAAAATATCTTTTTACAAAAGAAGGCAACAAATGAATAGAAAACTATTGACTGTTTTCTCTTTTCCATGTTGATCCTTAGCATACATGGATGCCTTGGTATGATGATACTCGTGTAACATTTTGTTGCACTTAAGTTATTGCCACTTGCAAGTACGAAAACGCACAATTTTCCGAACTTTGAGGCTCCATAAGTAAAACAAAGTGTATTTTGTGTCCCCGCGTTCCAAAGCATAACATGAGGATTTTGCGAGCATATGCGGGGAAACCAAGAAAGCATAATTCCATAATTTCGCGAGCATAATCCGCCAGAGCCTAGTTTGGACCACACAAACCCGTAATGAGGGTCAACTAAGACCTAGTCATTTGAATCGATTCAAAACTCCACACTGCGTGGACTCTTGTCACACAACCTCAACACCATTTAAATGGAATCCCATTAGGATCAGGCAGGCGCAGTCGGTGATCAAAGCCTATAAGTGAGATACGAGAGGTACCTGGTTCAAGTTCTGTCTGGGAGCGGTTTCTCCGCCCTTGCAGCTACCCAAAATCAACTGTTAACCTTTGGTCAGACACAAGGTGGAACATGACTACGGATAATGAGGATTTTAGCACTTGTTACACTTACCTTCTCACCCTCGCCACTAGGTACTGAATATGCAGCTGGAGTTTCGGGTGTTAACGACCGTCGTGAGTTTGGGAATGGACACCACCATTTGCGTTTTTGTTCCGACATAATTTACATATATGCTTACCTTGGCAAGTAGCAACTGGCGGCACCCAGGCCCCATTGATACTTGAGCACGTGGATGAGAGGTTCCGCTGGTGAGTGACCTGGTCAGAAATGTGGTAGCCTTCCGCGCACATTACATTGAGCTGCGTTGAGTACGGATAGCTGGTGATTCTGGACCGGCTCACTGGTATTGCCTGCATGTTGTTGTTACCTTCGTCTATGTACAACGTGGTAGTAGAATTATTCCCAGTCAGTATCTCCAACCTGCAGGTGATTTCTGTTGCCAAAAACAGAATTATGTAGCCAATTTAGCCCTAAATTAAATAATATAATAACGATCAGTCTATTCTTATTATTCTTTCATTCAACATCTTATGCCTCCACTGATGAGTTCAGGAGGAGCGAAACAGCTGTCTGGAGGGTCATTGTCAATATCAACCTGTAGACTATATACCAGAATTGTCCTCGCTGTGGTGATTGTGATGTGAGTGCAGAGTTTGGATCGGCCAAGAGCGCAATGTGGTGGTGTGGCGTATTGGATTATGTAGCATAATAGTGTTGAACCTCCAGCAATATTCCAAATACAATGTGAAATCAAATGGCACCTTAGACCCGTAGAATAACTCTAGCAGTCTGTGTTGGCTGTAAGTCTACGGAAACGAGACTTGAAATCATAAATTACTTCTCCCAATATAACCGTTGTTAGGCGTTCAAGGTCTCTAATTATGACATCATTATGATATGAACAGTTTGTTTGCCTTTCCTTGTATAGTATGTATGTAAAACATTAGGTAGATCTGAAAGATTAATTGCAATTACTTGAAGTACATACCAGTAAAAACACTTTGTCATACGTTCTTTTGTAGTCCTCGTTGTTTCCATTCGCAAACCAAGCAGATAGAACTATCCAGTGGTCAGGCATGGAATGATTGGCATCTGATCATGTGCAACACAAGAGCTAAGGGCCAAAGGGGCAGAGTAAAATACAATTTGAAGTACCTTGGCAAGTTCCTGCAGACCAAACTCCCGATTCCTGGCATGTAACAGTACCATTGGTCTCGTTTCCTGGTGCGTTACTATTGGTTGCCCATCCATAACCAATTTGACATCCAACTGCCAGAGTTGTGTTGTATGTGTATGCTGTTGTCTTATCCAAAGGGAATGTGTTATTCACAACAGGATCTCTGCATGTGACCACTGAAAAAAGACAAGTAGATGAATGACACAGTCGTGCAGCATGACGTGGACTTCAAGAAATATTCACTCCCTCCATCTTCCTGTGGAGTGCAATTAACGTGACGACTATTCTCAATCTCCTTTTCATTCTTCAGGCATGGCAGTGAATGTGATTTTGGTAAATTGGTAAAACGATTATGTGGGGCGTATTCGTGTACTTCTAGGTCAACAAGGTTGCATTTGCTTTGTACCATACTGAGCATTTGCACTTCCCCTAAAATTCCCTAAATATGTTCATCCAGAAGGGAAGACTTTTAATTTTGTTGTTTTTTAAGCTTTTTTTTAACATCATCAGGGAGTCTACACAGATCAACACGGCCACAATGCCAATTTGCTGAATCCCTGACTTTCAGTAGCAGTGTTACGTTCGCGTACGAACGTGTGTAGTTGATGGTTGGGAGTAGGAGGTTGTACGCAAATTGTGCACCTGGTGTATTCAGGAGACCGTAGAGGCAGGGCCAGATGTACTATTTTCTATGCTAACAGTTTTATGTTAGCAAAATGAATAATAATAATTATCTTGATTAGGATGACCCAGAGGCTTGTCGCCTATCAAGGGGTTCACCGCTTTGAAGGGTGTACATGAATGTGTGAGGCTGCCGTGGACAGGAGGGTGCAGAGGCCAGGAAAGGTGAGTGACGCTAACAGTTATGGTGGCTGAGCAGATGTTTGTTCACATCCCGGGACGAAATCTGGTTGCTTATTGAGGCTAGATGCTGTTTTATGTGTTGCGTATTGCACGCTTCAAGGTAGAAAATTGCCTGGTGATCTTGGTGTAGGCTCGATCGCAATCTTTTATCCTGCACTGATGATGGTGCAGGGAGATTGAATTCGTTCGGTTCCAGATGTGTTTGCATAATTCTGTGCTGTCGGAGTAATTTTTTGTGTCTAGCCGTTGTCATGTGGTTACCATGGTGTGTGTATTCTTTTTCTGGTGGTGCCTGAGGTAATGATCACAGCAGATATTATCTCCTGAGCTTGGCACTCACCTTTCGGCAGCCAAGATGAATTGTCCCTGCAGTTGCAGGGTTTTCCGGTTTTCTCCTTTTTTGGACGGAGAACTGCTTTTCTGTGGTTTTTGATGCGTGCATCCATGCTTGGCATCAGCTATACCTGTTTTTATTTGGCCAAGTCCCACTGAGCATGTAATAGTTTTCTGATGATTGCATTGAGCAAGAAACTCCGAGTTTCGACAACTCTGTAAACCTCCATTGTGTTTTTTGTGTGTAATAGTGCTCCACATTATTGTGTCGAGCCCTCTCCGCTGGCACAAGGAAGTTTTCCTCCCTGTTTTTATTTGTATTTTTGCAAATACAATAAATTATAAATAGCCCTAGCACAATCTCAAGTACCTTCGCAAGTTCCCGGAGACCAAAGGCCCGTTGCCTGGCATGTTATGGTGCCATTGGTGTCGCTTCCTGGCGTATCACCTGTTGTCCATACATAGCCCAGTTGACATCCTACTGAGAGTGTTGTATTGTACCTGGAACCTGTTGCATTCTCGAGATGAACTGACTTGTTGATAATGGGCTGACTGCACGTGACCTCTGATAAACACCAACGTTAACAGTTGCATTTCGTCAAATACAAGTTCTATCATTCTTCTTCCCTCAGCATTCATTGCAAATGGAAAAAGGTTTGAGCAAGACAGTGTTTCTAACTTTCCCCTAAACCTGACAGTCAATTGTGGAGTCTATGTGACACTATGATCGGCAAATAAAACCGCCCGTTCTAATCGGATAAGGTAGAATCAGAGAGTGCAACAGTTAGCCCAATGCCGTACCGACATTCCTCGACCACGGATACCAACTACACCTCTGTGTCTTTTCAATGTAATAATTTTCAAATTAATAATTCTAGAACCTGCGCTCCTCCTACCTTCACACTTTGCAATTGGCGGCACCCACGCTCCATCAGGACTTAGGCACGCAGAAACAAAATTCCGCTCATGAGCATCTAGTTGAGATATTTGATACCCTTCCTTGCACGTCACATTGAGTTGTGTTGAGTACGGATAGCTAACGCTATCGGTCCGGTTGATTGATATTGACTCCATGCTCTTGTTGCCTTTTGCTACGTACAACGCGGCAGTAATGTTATGCATAGTGAGAATCTCCAGCTGGCACTTGATCTCTATTTCAGCAAAATAGATGCAGCGGAAAAACAACTTATACTTGATATTGATAAGTAGATATTTGAACTTATGTTCTGCTTAGGATGCGTTCGGACCTGGTTTAAATCTGGCTTTGGAAAATATATTTTCATTGCTATCAGGTTCGGCCTTATTTTTCTGTGCTGCGCTGATGAGTCCACAAAGGACGAAACAGTTCAGTTCGCTGAGTGAACATTTCACTCCTGCTCTTGTAGTAGGTGAGCACTCTTCTGCCTTTGCTGTTTGCGTTATGCAGAGCTCACTGACTTGTCAGTTTGAGCTCTCTGGCCAGGTACGTTCGGATCTGGTTTAAATCTGGCTTTGGAAAACATATTTTTCATTGCTAACAGGTTCGGCCTCATGTTCTCTGTACTGCGCTGATGAGTCCACAAAGGACGCTACAGATCTGTCCGCAGATTGGATTTTGAGCTTATATAATTTTAACATGTTTTGGTTTTGGAAAAGGCATCTTTCATGGTCTCTTGTACGACGGATCTTTTTTGTACAGATGACACCTTGTATATTTACTGCGGAGATTATATTATGACTCAGTAAGTTCGAAATAGTGGTTGCGACTTCGGCGATGATTTGTAAGAAAAGGTTTGGTCCCCACACTGGAGCTCGCGCTATTCCGCCGACTTGACTTGAAACTTGACTGACTCGCGACTGCCACCCAGTAAGTTGTAATTATGATCTGTTCAAGTATCACTCGTGTCGAGACGTTTGGGCCAGATAATACTAAAGAGACAGGATGTAGTCAAGCATGTCAGTAGGACAGCTTGAAACCTCGAAAGTACACTATGCAAACAATCACAGTGCAATACATAAACCTGTACGCAGACTGGAGTTGTTCCTTAGCCGGTTACTCCGATTATTCATGATACCCTCGCGTATGGCATGGCACTCACATCCCGATGCAATTCACAAGTCTTACCAGTACTCACATCTGCCAAATACATTGGCCTGCATTTTGACTCGGACATGAGTTGGATCACAACGGTGGAACATGTTGCTCGTCGAGTTGCCTGAAAATTGCTGTCCTGCTGCGACATGCTTCCTCGCTGCCATATCCATGCCGACTCACCTACTTCAGATCTATCATTTTTTCAAGAATTTTTGTATTCTTCTATTAGTTCCTGCCCGTATTTGTCAGTTATTCAGGAACAACTGCTAAATAGGCTGTTCAAACATGGTGCTCGTGCAGTCTGCAAGTCTCCACCGTGGACCAGCACTGGTCCCCTGCCAAATCGAATGCATGTATGTATTCTACGGATTTCGGTGCACTTGAATATGTTTTGTTTCATCTGGCGATGTTTGCATGGTGCATGTAGCACCCTATTTCAGTCCTTTTTGCTTTCATGCCCTCAACTCGCACTCGAGGAGGCAAGCAACTTGATTGTGGTCCCAACCACCTGATAGCACTGCTCGTTCTGCTAAGCGCCTAACGCACGCTGGAGCCATTATGTGGAAGTGATTGCTATCAGCAGCAAAACATTTGAATATGTATTTGGATTTCAAATCTCAAGCCTTGCAGTATATATTATCAGCTACGCACGTGTAGGGTTTCCATAGCTCACTAGATTATGTTCTTTACAGCCAACCTTCCGTCTGTTGTTCTTTCTTTTTCCTATGTCTATTTTTCCTCGATGTCTTTTTTGTTCACAGTGGGTTCATTGTTATTAGGCATTATGGCTGCTTTGATTTCCACTATAATTACAGTCTACAACAACAACAACAACAACAACAACAACAACAACAACAACAAGATGGAATAACACCAGTGCACCGAAGCGGAATACAGTCATCTCCTGATATGGCAAACAACATTGTACAGGAAAATCAGTTCTTTATAGCTGAAGTTCGTGATCCGTATAGAGTGAAACCTCGTTAGGATGAACACGGATAAGACCAATGCCTGCCTGAGAAGAACAAGTATTCGTAACTGTATTGGATAAACCTCTGTGTAATCACTGGGTAAAACATATGGATAAGAAGAACTCCCGTTATCGCGAACAAAATATCACCAGTCCCTAGATGTTCGTCCTAAAGAGATTTGACTGTACATATAATCGAAATACACGTACACTGTTGATTCCAACTGGGACATGGGCAACGTTTCGTTACGACAAATTTCGCTATACATGTATGCAAAGTCGTTATAAGTGGCGTCGACTGTACAACGATTGAACTAACCTTCGCAGTGTATGTTGTGCAAGTCAAGCGTCCAGAGACCGGAGGCATTGCATTCAGACTGAATGACGTCCTTGCCATGCCCGGGGATAGTGAACCCGGTAGAGCAGGTTATATTTAGTGTGATACCTATCGGCACACTTGTAGAGACACTGTTCTCTGGCAACGTATACGTATTGAATTCTGATGTCTGAAGGACTTCTACACTCCCGTTAGCGAAGGTGCTGCTGTCATCGCCAGGCAATGTCCAAGGACAGGTGACCACTGAAATGAATTTCAAACAAGACAATGAAAATAACAATCTCGGTACGGAGAAATTATTCATTGTCACCTGTCAAGGAGGTCCACTGCCTCCAAAGGGGAAATTGCCAATTGCCAGGACCGCCTAGGTTCAGTATGGTGCCATAGCTAAGAATGTTAGCTCATTGCTTGTGACAAGCAAGGTTGGAGGCCTGGTTCGGCTGGCATGTTGTTCACTAGAGAGTTCGCTTCCAGGATAGTGTACTCGTTATAAAATGTCAGAACGTTGGTACCCTGGCTGCTGCACATAACTTTGTGGTGTTTAAGTAGAGGAGGTGAGTGGACACACCCATTCCCAGAGCACTGTAAACCGAACCTGCCAACCTAACCATTGGTTTGATTTGCAGTGCTGTAGGAATGGGTGTGTCTACCCTAATACTCTCTACGGATGAAGCAGCAAGATGCCTCAATATTACTTCTCACTGTTTAATTCAGACAAAATGTCCAATTTCTCGCAAGTGCTGGTCAATGTGATGGTTTCAGACCTAGATCGAGAATGATCTCGAAAACAGCTTGCGGTGATTGCATCTATTGAACACGTCAGGACCTCAACTCTTCAGGAATGTTTACCAGAAGGTCATTCTAAACAGCATTCTGTGCGAAATGCTCTTTCGAAATATTTTAAAATAAACCTTACTGCCGGCGCACAATAAAGTTCCATAATGAATTATGAGTACTTGGCACATTTGGCCAACTATGGAAGCTCTAATACCCGAGCCGGGCGGGGATGGCTCTAATTTATTGTGTAGCAAATCATTGTAATTAATTGTAGAGTATACTCGGCGGTAAAAAGTCCCCTAGATAATGATATTTTGCTTACGCCGGCACTCAACCACCGTAGGAGCCCAGGTCCCGTTTGCCTGACAGTACGGTAGCTGAGATTGTGGACCTGTTCCGTTGCGTGTCAGCCAATAGCCATATTCGCACACAAACTCAGCAGTTTCGTTCACGCTGTACTCGGATTTATTCGTCTGTCGAATGTGGAGAACATCTGCAGGTGGATGTAGACACGTGATGGCTGCACAAGAGAACACGCGAAATGCCCTTTCATTTCAAAAAGAAGAAAAAAGGTAACAAGATTGAGGAAGTTGAATTGGAGTATGATATTAATATCAGCTGCCACGGCACCATTTCTTCAGACTTCGCGAAATTCACGATCCCTTTCAATTAATCAACCCACGCTGGAAAGGAGCAGTCCTCACTCTACCCAAACACTTCACGTGTGAACTAACAACCCTCAAATTACTGACCACTGAAAGTACGTTTCGTAATACCGGTACAACTCACTTCGGCAATGGTCCAGTGACGGATGCCATATGCCGTATGCCTGACATGTGGTGGACAGAGTTAGCATCCAAGTTCCATTGATGTTGACTCCGTACCCATCTTGGCAAGGATATTCTATAGGGTCTTCAAACCTATAGGTTTGGGTTGGGTTATTCTGGTTTGTGCTCGGATGTGAACAGACATCACCTTCAGGGAACAGAATGCACGTACAAGAATCAAGAGCCAACATGCATACTGGGCCCCAAATACCATTCATGCGAAAGAAGAAAAGGCAAAGAATATTGCAAAATGGCATTGGTAACAAATTTATAAATCATGTAGAAGAACCAAGAGTCATTATGCAGACTAGGCCCCAAATATAATGCATGCGAAAGACGAAAAGGCAACGCAACTGGCAATGGTAACGAAATAAATCGTCTCCAGATACCAAACGGAATAAGGAGACAACATTCTATCATACTAGGCATGAGAGGCATGCGTTATATAAACGGGTTGGCTTGTAGCGAAAGTGTTCAAATCTCAAAATGGACGATCATGGTTCCATCGTGAAGCATGTGACTTGCACAAAAAAAAACATCGATTCCATATCAAATAATGTTAGGAAGACAACTTACGGACACAGAGGGGAGTGCCATTCGTCCAATTATATGCACCAATGCAGGTGGAATTGGAATTTCCTTTGTGACTATCCGACCCGTCACGGGTCACGTGATACCCATTCTCACACTGTAGCACTCCTTTGCCTCCTACGGTGAACCATACACGCGTTCTGTTTACAGATTGGATCAGCACAGTTTTCTTCAAGTTTCCTAGTTTGTCGTACATGAGGAGTTTTCCTGGGCCACTCTTGGCTCCATTTTTCCAGAGTTTCCACGGACAGGTGTTGTTATCTACAACAAAGTATTAAATCACGAAAATAGAGAGTGAATTGCTCTATTAGCATCTTACGCCAACACAAACGTGAGAATTTTCCTCTCTAAAAATATCTATTCAAATTTCAATTGTAGCTGACGACATTAGCATGTGCAATTGTGTGAGATTGTGTGTATGTGTGTGTAGATTCCTTTTGAGTCTCTCTCCCCTCTCCCGGGGAGACCCACGTGACCAGTTTTGGCAGTGAGCAAGTACAAGTACAAGTATGTGTGTGTATGTGTGTGTGTGTGTGTGCGTGCGTGTGTGTGTGTGTTACTATAATAGCATTCATGGCAGAGGTTGTTGGTATGTATGTTGGTTCTGGGTTCCCAGTACTCAGTAGCCGAGGCTGGTTGGTAAAGTAACTCCATTTTCACTTCAAGGTACTGGTGCATCTAGTGTCTGCTTCTATCAAAGCAGCGTGCTGTCTATACTGGTTACCCAAGCAAGTGTAGGGTGTGCATAGGTAACTGTTTTGGCAGTTTTATGCAGATGTACTCCGTGTGGCGTTGACCAGGTTTGCATTGGTGGTCGATTCACATGGCTTCGCCAGTTTTGTAGATTAGACAGTTATCTTGTGCAAGTCTTGATCTTTCTCATTCAGAACTTGTTCGCAATCGTTGCTATAAGAGAAAATCTGTGAGTGCACATCCAGTTCATTTGCAGTTTTGAGTGCTTTTCTTGCGACGGGCGTATACATGATACAAGGTGCATGTATGTGTATGTATGTGTACATGTGTGTGCAGGCCAGAATAATGGAAAAATAAGGATTCACTGGCCAGAAAAAGTAACTTCAAACAGCTGTTTGGTGGATACCAGGCTAAAAATAGTGGCGGTCAATTCATCAGCCTTGCAAGAAGTTGAATGGTGTAATCCCAGCACAAGTTGCTATGTCTAACATAGCTGTTCGCTATTATCGCTTCCGCGATGGGCATGTCTGAGGTCTGAGGTGTGTGCAGGTGGTTATGTGTGTAAAGCCCAGTTCACATTCGTGTTGGATGTGGACTCGGTGGAAGTCGGTTGGTGGTTTCTGAGCTCTGAGCTCTGGAGGTGGTTAGATTTGCTTGGCGACTGGAGGAGTCGGAAGAGAAGCCTTGGATGCGACTGCTACTCTGTTGCTGTTTTCCTGTGTTGTGTTGGGTTTTGTTGCATTTTCCTTCGCTTTCTGTTTACATGTGGAGTTGGCAGAGGTCGCAGGGTTGGAATATCGCCACAGGCTTCGACAGGCTTCGACAGCACCTGCCCAATCGGTCTTGCCTGGGCGTCAGTCGTCAACACCATTGCCACCTACTAGCGGAAGGCTCAGTGTGCCTGCTGGGCCTGACGGCTCCGCACCTCCAGGCGTTGTAAGACGTCATGCTGTGTTACCAGTGTCCATTAGGTTGGAAGTGTGTGAGATACAGCTGTGTTCAGCAAGGAAGCAGGTGTGTGGATTGTTACCCAGGCAGGTCGCAGCCCAGCACGTGCAACAATTCAATATCTCTCTCCCAGCCTACCGGTGCTAGCAATATCGATAACATTGGCGTCAAACGCCCAGACAGCCAGCCACCCACAGTCGCCTCTGCGCCCCGGGATGTTCTTTGGACTAAAGACAGCTCCTCACCTAAAGATAGTGGCAGTGACAACAACTTGCGCCATGCCCACTAGCCCCCTTCGTCAGGATCAGCATGGAGGGAGCATTTAGGCGCTGGCCCTTCACCTGCAAGGGATCGAGTCACTGATACATCCTCTTCCACCCATGATGAAAGCCTTGGCACCTCAGCAGCTGATACTTCGCGGGATGCTTCAGCCTGTTGGCCGTGGATGGTGGTGGTGTGGGAACTCTGGTCTCAATGTCCAATGTTCATCCCACAGCATCCCAAGTTGAGCTGCTTGCTAACCTAGACATCTCAGATCCTGCGCTTTCTAGTCAATCGGCGCGTCAAAGAGCCACGGATAACACGGCCTCTAATGATCTACGACACCCATCACAGTCAGCCTTCTGCTCAAGGAATATAAACCACGCCGATGCAAATGGCGTGGGTGTGCAGTGTTGCCAGTGTCAGGCAAGTGTATTTTGTGTGAGGTGCTCATGTGTTCGCGCTGAGAAGGGATGTGTGAACTGCTACCCACGGTGGAACACACCTAGCTCATGTCGGAACCCTCACAGCGCGTTGCCCCAAGTGCTAATAGCATCAGCGCATCCTGCGGGGAGGACCACTACTAGCACTCCCCCCTTAAGCCGACTTGTGAGTACTGGCGCTAGCTCAAATGTTGCGGCAACCGGCGCAGGCAAATATTCTCTCCCGACACGACCTTCAAGTGGCATGTCGCAGCCTTTGGCTGGTGGCTCTCACTCCTCTCGAGACTTTGGCGCCAGGTCACAGTCTCTCCATGGCGCCGATCCACGTCTCGCGCCTTCCTCCATGCAAGTGTCCGGACCCAGTGAGCCATCGCCATCAGACCCCTAGTCAAGCATCTGGCCCAGGTTTGCCCTACTGTCACGCTGTCGTGTTATGCAGATGATGATTCTGCGGCTGACTGCCTCCAGCCCCTGCATACATATTGGTATGAGCTGAAGGCGGTAGGACCTGGATGTGGGTACCATCCAAAATCATCCAAGACCATGCTGGTTGTTAAGGCTGATGTACTTGACAAAGGAAGAGACATCTTCGGAGGAACGGGCATTAAAGTCACATGTTCTGGAAGCCGGTACCTGGGCGGCGGAATAGGTACCCGAGAATTCTGCCATGGATATATGTCGGAGTTGGCAGGGAAATGGGCTGATGAACTGCGGGTCCTGGCGGAGATGGCCAAGACTCAGGCTCACGTGGCCTACTCCGTGTTCACTAGAGGCTTATCGAGCAGGTGGAAGTACCATCTCCGTGCGATGGCATGCCCAGCGACATCATTGCCAGCGTGGATGACGTGCTAAATACGTCCTGCTGCCGACTCTCCTTGGGCACGATGGCTCGGGTTCGGGGTCCTTCCGCGAGCTCTTGGCCAAGCCAGTTCGTTTTGGTGGTCTGGCCATTCCCGTTCTTAGCTCTCTGGCGCCACAAGAGCACGATGCTTCCATCAGGACCACAGCACCGCTGGTCCGGCTTGTGCTGCCGGACTTCGCTGCTCCGACAACTCAAGTACCTGCGCTTGCTGGCGCCAGCACCCCCGACGAAGCTCGCTTGGTGCCGGCCCCGGGCCGTCAGGCCGGTGATTTCCCCCCTGCTGCAGTGAATTCAAGCGTGCATCCCTCCGGTGTTGTTGCCGCATTGACAGCGGTCCCGGATTCAGCGATTGTCCCCGTTGAGGCTGATCCGGTCATGGACGCCATTGGCGCAGTGCGCGAAACTGCCCGCCAGCTCTGGTCTGTGCAGCTGAGGGAACATGAGGATTGTAGTAGAATTATTCTTCACGTGCACAGGCTCCACACAACATCAGGCCACAGCAACTACAGGAAATAAAATAATCTACTATCACGGTATTAAGAATGTATCACGGTACTAGGTTGAGACAAGGAAATAATCAGAACTGTCGGAAGCCTCGGACTCAAGATTCAAGAACAACAACGAGCCAGACCAAGACCTCGCTGACTTCACTGCTGTCGATGCGCGCGTTCGTGCATCAGAAGAACAAAAAACTGAACTGTGATTGTCACCGACGTCATAGATTACGTAGTGACAGAAATAATTAATCTGACATAAAAATATCAAGAGTACGAAAAAATACATTATCAAGACTGGAGAGACAAAGTCACAGTCATAGAGTAGGAAGACATGAATGACAAAGAGAAGTGAAATGTAATCACAATGCTCAAGATCAGTGACCATTTTATAACACCTGTCCCCCTGATAACATGTTCACTGACAATGGCTAGTCATTGTGGCGAGCAGGGCGTTGCAGGTCAGCTCTGCTTCGGAGGTTGCGAGCGGGCTCATCATCAGTGGCAGTTGGTGGGTCGAAGTCGACGCTCATAGCCATATCAGTCTCAGGATCGTTGTCATGCTGCTTGATATTGACATCCAAACATGCACCATCTTCGGAGCCATTGGAATCTCGCTTGAGGAGATCGACGTTCACAGTCTTCTCAGCTCCAGAGGTTTGATGACGAATGACGACAGTGGATGCACTGACGATGTCACGAACACGCCAGCCACGCTTGTATGGTGCAGAACGCTTCTGCCGTCGTTCAGGACGTCGCAACATCACGGCATCGCCAGGACTATACAGGCATAGTACGTTAACATCAGGACTATCGCCGCTCGATAACTCTTCTTTAATCAGATCGCGGATAGCCGCGGATCTCTGTGCAAGCTTGTCTACCCATGCACTCGCAGACATCGTGCCGTTGGCAATGGGTGACTCAACAATGAACCTTGCTGGCTGCCATCCGACCATGGCTTCCATTGGCGATAGATGGGTTGCCGAGTGGGGTCTGTTACGATAGTAGAAGAGCAGGGTACGGAGATCAGACTTCCAGTCGGATGAGTATTCAAGGACCTTCCGGATCAATCCAATCAGGGTGCGGTTTGCCCTCTCCGCTGCGCCTTGGGATTGTGGGTGTCTCACAGCACCTGTGCGTACTCGGACTCCAAGTGACTGAAAGAGTGACTCGACGACTGCATTCGCGAACTCTGTTCCATTGTCACATCGCACAACATCAGGGGCACCGCACATCTGGCAGACCTGCACAAATGCACTGGCGACTGAAGCAGCATCATGGCGACGAAGGGGTACCACTTCAATCCACTTCGTGAATGCATCCACACACATCAGTACACAGTGGTAATCATTCGTGCCATCCGAACCCAACTCCAGGGTATCGATGCCAACTTCAGACCATGGGCGGCAAGGAATATCAGGGCGAGTAGCTGCAATAGCGGGTGCTCTGCTTGGGTTAGCTGCTACACACTGCCCGCAATTCGCAACATACGCTTCACAAGCAGCAGCGATCTTCGGGAAATAACATCGACTGCGGATCATCTCATACATAGTCGACCAT